CAATGATACAAGTGGACTGCCACAAGCAATGATCGAAACCAATCCAGGGGCAGTGACTTGGGATCGACTCTTGAACGCAGGAGTTGCAATGTAGATAGTGCAAGCGCAGCTGGCAGATTCTTGGGGAAGGGATGGTGCCCGATTCATTCAGGCATATTGTATAACAGTGTCACCATGTACAAGTATAACGAGAGCATTTGAAGTTCGCAGATCGTGCTGTGGACATTTCCATCTTGGTTCCGCATTCTTTATTCTCATGCGGTGCTGCGATTCGTCGGTTGTTTTGATTTCTCATCACTGGACGACATGTATACCGTACTGTTGCGCCCGAGTTGGAAGTAGAACAACATATCGAATGCAACATATAAATCATATCATAATCAATCTATTTACAATTAAACGAGTACTCTTTACTGCGACAAGAAGTAGAATCAAGTTCCTTTCGTAGCAGCAGAATATGAGACGCAACAGCTTCTGCGTATGGGTGCGCATATATAAAGTACTTGCATAGATGCGACTGGCTGGTACTATGCTGGCAGTGCTTTTCTTGGGAGGTACCGCCCCAACCCCCCCGGCAGTTCCCTCACCTTTCTTACCCACATATGCCACACATGCCTACTCCCGGCGGGTCGGGGGGGGGGGGGGCATACAGTACTCGGATTGGTCAAACTAGATTTCCGGTCTTACAGAACACATCGAATATATTGAATATATAGTAGCATCTCCAAATTTGCGACGAGTATTGTACTGTAGGTAGTGAAGATCACTGTTCGACTCGGCGAATCGACAGTACTATAGAGCCTCCCACCCAGGCACCGTAGTGAAGAACGGTTCATTCTTGTACTCGTCATCATGCATTTGCCTAGTACTAATTATTGAAGTAGTGCTCAAAGCCATGTTCTACATAAGTTATGGGTGCTACGGAATGCTCGATAGATGCAGTCGGAGATAGGCATGCGCGTCCCTCCGCGCAGGGATTAACACTAATAACACTAGCCAGCCTGCTATTGATTCATTCATTATTAGTTGGTTCATTCATTATTGTTTCACTCATCCAATTACCGCTTATTAGCTAGTATGTGTGATATGCCAGTATATCATAACAGCAAATTCCATCAATGGACTTACAGTACTCTAGACTACTATATAAGAAAAGCGGCTCATGTTGTTGTATGTTGCATCTGTTGATATTTATATCTTTTTATTATTTGATCTTTGAATTTTTTCCATGCAAAGTTGTATTTTTATATTGATGCATACATGTTTTTTTGTGTTTGGTTGCATTGATGCATATAATATTGATTCAAGTTTTTGTTTTTGAATTTTCTTTAAGTCAAAGAATCAATCATTATATTTTGTCATGCATATTAGAATGCGGTGTTCATTTTATTGATGCGTTCGAGAGACAATCACCTTTTCTGTTTCATTTTTGGTTGTCATATTATTGGTTGTTTCTTCATTTTGACTCTTGTATCTCTTGATGCATATATCCCATAGTAGTGTAGATGTACTGAATTGTGTACATACTACGGCATGCCTTCTACATACTCTTTTGGGACTTTTTTCACCCAAAAAGAAGCATTGAAGTACATACTGACTTACGCGATTCTTGGACCACAACAGCTCGAACTTAGAGCTGAAGCAGGATCAAACGGTAGCGGTCGAAAGACATGAACTTTCTTTTGAATTCGTTCAGCCTTTTTGGAAGGATCAGTGGAATAATCCTTCAGGGGAATACTATTTGGGAATAGCCCGTAACAACGCAAGGATCTTTCATCGAAGCATCCTCCTCGTCTCCAGGTGTTCTTGACATTGTCAGTTGCGAGTGCAATAGTGTTGGCCAACATTTTCTGACAAGTCCAGAGCAGTGAAAAGAAGAAGATAGTTTCGAGAAAGGTCGTATGTGGAAGCGGGGTACGGGATGGCGGTCTCCATGTGTGGAAGATCTATGGACCATCGACTTCCATTTCATCAGTATCGACTTGCATCCAGTCAATTTCAGGTAGATCGATTTCCATTTCATCAATATCGACTTGCATCCAATCGATTTCCGGTAGATCAATGTCCATTTCGTCTTGGTCAATTTCCATCGCATTGCAGTCGAGGAAAAGTCCGGAGAATCGTTTAGCAAGCTCGGTTACAGAAGCATTGCCAGTGGCGAGTTCCGAAGACGGATGGAGCGAAAGGTAAGTCGCCATCATTTCAGCTTCAATTTCGTCTCCAGCAGCATCGAGACTTTTAGATTGCGGGATGGCATCTTGTGCTGCTGGTTGTGAGAAATTCAAAGGTGCTGGATCAGAAAAATCGAGGACGACTTGATTTGGCTCGTTCTTGGTGGTGGCGGTGGTGGTGGTGGTTTGCAATGATAACCCCATTGTTTCGTCGTTTTCTTCCTCCATTTTCGCTTTGGTTTCATTGCAGTTAAGAGAAAGATCAGAGAATAGTTTCATAAGCTCCTCCATGTCGTCTTGGTTTTGCTCGACAGTGACGTGACGGTCGTCCTTCATAAGGTTTCCACGTTGTTGCTTGGTTGCAAAGAAGGTGTTCATGTTTGATTATGATGTTTGGTGTTTGGTGTTATATGCGAAGCGAAGAATAAGATTGCACAAAAAGCTCGGCGCTTTGTTTTTATGAGCTTTTGGAGTGTGAAAGTCAAAGTGGCCAGAGTGCATGTTTGCATATCGTTTGCATCAACATCGTGGAATTATCCAAAAAAATGAACACGGTACACGCTGGCGAAACGAAACGACATTTTCAGATTTTCATTTCGCTAGCTGGAATTTCTTTTCAAGCAGCCGGTTGTGTTGTTCTTTACAGTAGGCCTTTGAAGGCGGCGAGGCCTCCAAATGATGGATGAATGGGATTCGCTTCAAAATCTTTCATCATCATCATCATCACCATTGCATGCGGGTAGTGTCTCAAGTGTTTTTAGATTGCGGCCGTTGAATTTGCCGGTTTATTGTGTGTGGTCGAGTAACATTGAAACCACTGTTCGAAAGTCCGACTTACAGTATAATCGGACACTTCCTTCGTCCATCCTTCAACATTCTAAACAGGACAATAATAACAAATAACGCAGACTACAATACCGGTATATAAAAACAGGTAGTAATATATTGACGGCAATCATAGACTGTTAATCCCTGCGCGGAGGGACGCGCATGCCTATCTCCGACTGCATCTATCGAGCATTCCGTAGCACCCACAACTTATGTAGAACATGGCTTTGAGCACTACTTCAATAGTTCTACATAATTATCCCTTGACAAGAATGGTGTAGGTGATTCCCTCCAACTCGGGAGTGTCGACACTACCACTCGACGCCATCCACCCTCCCCCTGACGGATAGCAAAACCTCAGGACTGCCAAGGAGGCCGATATCCAGCTCCTAAACCCGAGGACACACCCACACCATCAGCTTGTCATTGTATTTTTTTGGCTTCTCGACTCCAAAAGTCGTCCACCGAAGCCCCCTAATATTACAGAAGTGCCTGTTCTATTATGGTTTATGGCTCATGTTTCCTTTTCCAAAGGTTGTTCATGAGCAAGTCTACACGTATGATGGTTTCAATTTTTGCAAGCAAAGGATCGACCCAATCTATACCACCGGTTCTGACGCAAACTAACAGAAATTCGACCACCAGCGTTGGGCGCCGTCTCACCTTCTACACTGTCAATGATGCTCCGTATCTGGTCCTTTATGCTGCCGACAATGCACCTGAGGCACCCCAAAACCACCACCAAAGCGGGTGTTGATCGACAACTTCCAAGGTTGCTAGGCCGTGAAGTTCCAAGGTTGCCGGCCTTGCAATGTTGCAGGCCGGCACAACATTCGATTTCCAATCAATTTATTTCGAATGAATAAAATTCAAAATGCTCCACAGAGCGTCGGCAAGGTTGTGTGTATCCCTGCGCGGAGGGACGCGCATGCCTATCTCCGACTGCATCTATCGAGCATTCCGTAGCACCCATAACTTATGTAGAACATGGCTTTGAGCACTACTTCAATATAGACAGCAGGTTCATCTACAAGTTGACATTCTAACGCCTTGCAAGTGTTCCACAACGCCCAACACCAATAGCTACCAACACCATCTTGAAATTCACCTTGCAACTAAAGAACAATGGCGACTCGAATTCTACCATTGGAATTGACTGACAAAGCCATTGGATCCCAAATGTGGATCTTATTGTGACCTTGAGGGGCTTTGATGATTATGTACGTATCTCAATGATTAGTGTTCCATTAATTGGTTGTTGTCAATTTCCACCACACTAACAATCCTAACATGGATTAGAAGAATCAACAAGTCTCTCCCTCTCGTAGCAGAAAAGGAGACGCAACAGATTCTGGGTACATAAGGATGTATACAACCCGGTCACTCAATGAAATGCCACTATTTCGCCCTGTCGTAAGCCAATTACATCCAAAGGAAGGCCAAGCAAAACAGTAATGGCACAAGCTATCAACACTTAACCTGTTTGCCAAAATGGACTATTGTAGTTTTATATTAGGTTACCACAACCAAATGCAATCCGAACCAAAGCCGTCGGTTTCTCATTGGGACATTGACGTGGTTTGAATAGATTGGCCATATGCTCAAAAGCTACCAAACAGAATGGCCGGGATTCGGTTCTTTTTCTCCGTATAGTAGAGTAATTATTTAATCCTGCACATCGAACATATCTCCGCCGGCACTATTATCTTCACCTATGTACCGGACACACGATCGAGCTTTTTTCCAAACCCGTATATAGAAAATCACATATTACAATTATATTGTGCTCTTCATCATCATAAGGTTTCAAAAGGAAATGAAAACAAGATAACCCAGCAAGAGAAGCCAGCATTTATTGCTACAAATAGAATGAGCACGGTGACGAGAAGTTACAGAGACAGCGAATGCGGGTGCTTTCAATCTAAAAACACAAGCAGGGTTGGTGCAAAGTCTCCAGCGAGATTGGATGACAACGAGTTGGACAAACTCATTGTACAAGGCATGAACAGTCTCAGCTTCAACGAGCTGCAAACGAAACAAGAAGAACTTCACGGGGTTGCGGCTGATAAGTTGGAGAAAGCTGCTGATGTAGAAAATATGCTGATTGATGTGGAAAAGTATCTGCAACAGATTAAGGTGGGAACTCCTTATGAAGTTGCTGAAAAAATGAATCAAGATTACGTTCGAAATCGTGACTTCCAAACCCAGTTCCTCAGGGCCAATGAATATGACACCAAGGCAACCGCGGAGCAACTTATTCGACATTTTGAAATGAAAGCGACTCTTTTTTCAAAGGATACGCTCGCAAGAGACATAGTTCTAAGTGATTTGAACGACGATGACATTGCTTGCTTGCTGAGGG